TTCATAATGTAACTCATGTATGTCCCAGGAATATGCATGTACATCACATGAATGTTCCAGGTATATTCTGGGAATATCATTTTGCTATGTGGGTGGTTTCTGATCCAAACCTTCAAATACCGATACATACAAACACGAGCACAAATAGTGGAGACAACACTAGCAACACTAAACTATCGGCAAACCACATAGGACTCATTGGACATTAAGCTATAGAAACGCGAGCGTAACACGCTCTAACACAGCGGCTTTGGGGATGGTTTCACATGGAGACGTACCTGGACCATCTACTAGAGGCCCCAATTAGGGCCAGTGTGCAGCAAAGTTATAAGGCTGGGAATTATATGTTTAAACATCTCGATTGAGAGGGCCAGCAACAAGAAAACTTTTCAAGTTACTGAGTTTTCCGTCGGTTTCCCAATCAATGTTCCTTGAACTTACACTGGACTGACTTGACTGCCCACATAAGTCCCAGCCTTAGAATAGGGATTTTCAACAAATTGAACTATTCCTCCATTTTTGGACACTTCCCCAGATGATTCGAGTGATTTGTGCCGAGTAAATCAGAACACTGAACACACACATGACTACCGCTGATAAGTAACACAAACAGCACATTGCTTAGGACGCGGCACAGCTAGAAATCATAAGAAAAACACACATTTTTATGGAACAAAGATCAGGACATCGACAACAAGGCCTAGAACGACAAAACAAAATCGACACACAATCTAAGTCTTACTGCCGTCCAGTTCAAGAGGCGGTCGCTTTTTGCGCAGAGCAGCCCTAGAATGAGGCGCATTGGAAAGGTCAACCCATTCGGCGTCCTCATTTAGAGACTCCAGCTCTGTGAGTTAGGGAAACACAGCTCTATTTAATTGTTCCCTAGTGAAAATGCCTAATCATTTGGCTCAATGCAAGTTTTTGCACAAACTGTTTGCTGGGTATTTCGCCTTAAAAATTGTTGTCTTTAAAAAAGACAGAATTCCCTCACGTCTTTTATTACAGATATTACTGATTTCTCTCTATTTGCTTCTTTAAATTCTGTCCAGTTTTTCCTGATAATCATTTCTGCATTGCGAGCTTTTTGTGGGCGAATTTGTCCTTTACTGCTTTCTGCTTTTGCTTTACCCACACTTTATCATGCTGATGTGCAGTCCAATGAAAACACTCAATTAGTTAAACGATTTCATATGCATTTGCATGCAGCTTTTAATGGAAATAACCGACAGCAATTTTGTACTTCTTTGACTGAGTTCTACTCTTGTTAGAACTGAGCCGAGGGTTTTATATGCATGACGCCTTCGGCTTTCGCCCGAATATATGCAGGATGTCCATCACCATTTGGACATCAATTATTAAAAGATGCAGCTTCCCTAGGGTA